TGTTAATGCCAAGATATTTAGTGCACTACTGGTCATCTTTGGACTGTACTCAGTTTCAGTTAATTTTGTGATGATGATTACATGGATTATTCATTTTCAGATAGATCTGAATGATTTGCAGCACCTGAGGGAATAGGGCAGTTAATGAGGGATCACATTACCTGAATGTTTTTCTTGGCCTGATTAGGCGGCACCCCACCTACAAAGAGTGGATCTTGGACAAGCAGTGAGATGTTTCCGCCTGGAGCTCTGTCCTCTAGTACCGTAAGCCCGTCAATTATCAGTCTGCCAGTATTTATACTTCTGATAAAGATTATCTACAGAAGGAGAGAGAGATAAAGTGTCACAAAAAAGAACCACTCCTGTAATAGGCAAACTATTCAATAATTACTGCTTATTTGGGAAGAGGATTCTGTTACTTGAAACTAAAGACATCAAGACATCAGAACATCTCAGCATTCGAAGGTTGTGTTCTCAATTATATGCAATGTAAATGAAGCTTAAAAATTCTAGTGAGATGTCAATCTAAAGGTGAGTAATTTGGCCTCTGTAGAACTCTATATGCTTGGAAACAATCATTATCTGCACCAAAACTCAATAATTTGTTACAGCCAACATTATTAGTTTTTCACAAATTATATTAAAATTTTAATCTGATTCAAATATATTTATTTTCCCAAAGATGCAAACATTCATATGAAATAAAAACGATTATTTAGTATAATGATCATACATTTTTACACACTTTTCTTTAGACATAAGCCAAACTGTTACTTCATGTAGGTCAGTATAATTTTTTGTATTTACACCATAAAGCTAAATTAACTATAACATAATTTTGTTATTCAATGTTTAATTTAGTGTTCCTACTATAAATAAAGAGAACTTTGAAAGACCTTAATGTTTATTGTGATATCTTTTTAACATTAAATTTAATTAAATGAAATAACATTAAATAACATTTCTGCAGTCAGTATAACTAGCCAGTATGTGATATTTTCTCTTTCTCTCTCTCTCTCTCTATGGGGAGTGTTACGTATTTGCTAGGACAAACTGAAATCAGATTTAACTTACATCATGCCACTGTCCATCACTGTATTTCTCCTTGGATCTGATTCTGACTTGGTTCTGGCCCGAGCTGAATGTGAATACCAGCATTCCGTGAGTGAGGAACAGAGCCATGAAGTTCTCCTCAGACTCGTCAGCCAGGTAGAAGATAAGTCCGAATGCTGATTGAGTTTTCAACGATAGAGAAAAGTGAGATCTAAAAAAGATGGAAAAACAGAGAACACTGTTATGTTTCGCCAGGTGCGCCAGTACAATTAATGTGCAGGATCAAACAGAATTCATGACAAGCAGAAAGCTGAAAGCTGACTGTAGAGGAGAAATAAAGCATTAAAAAAATGCTAGCCATAAAGTCAATAAAGTTCCTAGCCATATCGGCCTAGAAAATCACAACTTTTCCTTTTC